TTGCACAGGGATTACTTCACTAGCTTCACACACAACAACACATTATTATCAAGACACTCTTGATGAGAAAGCTGAGGTTCAGAAATGGTGAATAGGTCTGCTCAGGTTTATATAGTCAGTAGGTTGTAGAGTCAGGCGATGAGTCCAGATTTTTTTACATCACAAAAGCCATTTTTAAAATGTCTATATGACTCTGAATTTTTTGAAAGTAGAGTATATGTAGCAATTCTGCAATACCGGTAAGTATCCAACAAGTTCTAAATTCCACCAATAAACAGAGCCCTCAAGCAGACCTTGGAATACGGGTCCTTAGTTAATATAGGGTAGAATAAGCATCACAAATCTGCGATGGAGGGGTCAATTATGCCATAAATGGTACTGGGGAAATAAGCTAGGTTTATGAGAACAAAGAAATCAATTTAGATCTTCCTCTAAAACTAAACATCAACATAAAATCTAGATGAATTAAAGACTTTCATTAGGAATAAAATAAATTGGAAAACATATAAATGAATAATTGCCCAATCCTTGATAAGGCAACATTTCCATGCTTAAAACTAAATGAGAGATGTCTTAAAGGGAGCAATCAATATACTTGACTGGGTAAAATTTAAACTTATTCATGTCAAAGACATAAACAACAAATAATAAAGAGAGAAAACATTTGCAACATATATGGGATAAAAGCCTTAAAACCCTTAATATATGAAAAGCTCATATCAACCAATGAGGAAGTCATTAAAACAGATAATAAGAAAAAATAAAGGTGGAATATAAATGTGTGAAAATGTGTTAAACTATTAATCACAAATATAAAATCACAGCAAGAAGTTACTTTTCAAAATTAGGTATAAAGAGTTGCAAAGTTCAGTGAGATAAACATTCATCCCTATACTTACACATAAATTGATAGAGCTCTTTAAGAAGACAATTAAGCAGTATGTATAAAGAATAGCCACAATATGTATGTTCCTTGGCCTAGTAATGCTGCTTTTGGGAATTTATCCCAGAATAAATTAGAGATGTGAACAAAGATGTATACATGAAGTATCGATCACAACCTAATTTAAGGTTAGAACAGCCTGATTGTCATAGTCATTATTTTATTCTTGTTGCCAAGAATAAGGCCTTGCTCCAGGGAGAATAATTTTTAAAAAATATATTTTTATTGATTTCAGAGAGGAAGGGGGAGGGATAGAGATAGAAACATCAATGATGATAGAGGATCATTAATAGGCTGCCTCCTGCATGACCCACACTCAAGATCTGCAACCTAGGCATGTGCCCTGAACAGGAGTCTAACTGTGACCTCCTGGTTCACAGTTCAACACTAAACCTCTGAGCATACCAGCCAGGTTAGATGAAATGTTCAAACAATATGCTGAATGCTGTAACTAACAATGGGCTATAATCTAACATAGAATAGTTGAGAAATAGTTAAATCTATGCTAGTGTATCCAAATAATTAAACATAACCTTCAAAATTAACAACTTGAATTTTTAAATGGAAAATACTTATTGATGTAACACTTTTTAAAAAATGGGATACAAATTACACATGCACCATGATAATACATGCAAAAATATACATAGACATATTTAAAGAGCCAAATACCAGACAGAAATGTGATAAGATGCTAACACTGGTTATTTGCTGCAGTTAGAATTATGAATAATTGGTTTTTTTTAGGATACAGTTCTGTATTTTTCAGTTTCCACATAAACCATGTACCATATTTAATTAAAATACTTTCGCAAAAAATAATCTGAACAGATTCACAAGTTAATAGTCATGATCACTAGGTGGTGATACATTTTTAATTTTTGCAAATTTCCTACAATAAGTCTGTATTATCTTTAATAAGAAAAAACTTATATTAAAAAGAAATAGAAATCATCAGTCAATAGCAAGAAAAAGTTAGCAGTAAAACTTAAAAGATTGAACATCACAGAATCAAGATTAGTGATAAGTATGCAGCAGTGAGACTCTGATCATAGCGCTGGATGGATTGCTTTATTGTCTGAATTTTTTTGCCCTAGCCAGTTTAGTTCAGTGGATAGAGCATTGGCTCGTGGACCTATGGATCCTAAGTTTGATTCCAGTCAAGGGCATGTACTTCAGTTGCAGGCTCCTCCCTGGCCCGAGACTGGTGCAACCAATCTATATGAGATGTTTCTCTCTCTTCCTCTCTCTTCCACTCTCTATAAAAATAAAAATAAATCAATGGGAAAAATATTCTCAGTGAGGATTTTTTAAAAAGTCTGAATTTTTCACATTCCCTCTATTCACTGCCCTTGCTCAGTTACTTTTAGTTAGCTCTCCCTCACTTCCTCTGCATTTGGCCAGATGATTGGCTTTGTAAATATTAACCAGATGTTGAAATGGGCAAATACTTGGGGGCCAGTTTCCCCCTGCGATCCCACTATGAGAACTGTCCTGCTGGGTATGACAGACTGTGGATCAATCACCTTTGTACCCTGGACTCACCCACAGTTGACTGCCAGACATAAGGGTTAAGGTTAGAACTGTGCCGCTAGTTCAGGCTAAATTGCTGAACCACAGAAGTGTGAGCTACATAAATGCTTATTGTTGTAATCCACCAAGTGGTGGGATAGCTTGCTATTCAGCTTTATTGTGACAACACACTTGATTCCAAGGGGTGTAATGACTGTTGATTAGAAAGGCCATACGTGCCAGAATATCTATCTCCTTAGAGGACAATATGAAACATTTCTCTTGACAATCAGCTTCCCATTGCTCAGAGCCATTCTCTCCAGCCAATGCATAGCCCACAATGTACCCAGACGTCATGGGGAAAATGCTTTTCATAAAACAGCTTAACACTCTAGTTCCCAGAAAGGTTTTCATACTCATCTCTCATAGCTATAAGTACACAACCATTCCAATTAATTTATAAATCTCTTATCAGTTCAGCTAGCATTACAATGTCTCTGTGAATCCAATCAAATTGGGGCAATGGTAGGCTGCTCTTTCCTCAAGGAAGAATCTGAGCATAGAGTCTGAAGTCTGGGCAGTGTCTGGCATTGTATGGGGCCTCCTAGCAAAGCAAAACTTAATTTTTCTCTGACCCTTGGTATAAACTTTAGGCAATTCTTTAAACATCAACGCCAAACATGAAACCAAGTTCATGAATAAGAAGAGTGCCAAAATGTGAAGGCAGAAACTCACTGCTTATGAGCTTATTATACACCATTAAGTTTTTATCCAGACACTGTTTCAGAGAGAAAGGAGCCCCTCAGGCTGATGAGCACGTGAGGCTGACAGAAACTGATGTCATCATCTGTGTGAATTACAAAAGTGGTGATAGCCTGGCCAGTGAGACTCAGTGCTTGAGCGTGGACCCATGAATCAGGAGATCAGGGTTTGATTCCCGATCAGGGCACATTACTGGGTTGTAGGCTTGATCCCCAATGGGGGGCGTGCAGGAGGCAGCGGATCAATGATTATTTCTCATCATTGATGTTTCTATCTCTCTCCATCTCCCTTCTTCTCTGAAATCAAATATATATATATATATATATATATATATATATATATATATACACACACACACAGCGATAAACACTGCTCTTTACTGAATTTCTGAATGTGTCAATATTGTGCTATCTAGTATTCTCTTTACACAATGAAATCAAGGAAACCCTATAGGGGAAGGGTTAGTGCCTTCATTTTATAGATTTGTGAAACAAATGCACTAACTGAGGCTTAGAGAGGCTAGAAAAGGTACCTCCACACAGGCTGGACCACACAGAGTCAGGAGTCAGGGCCACACCCAAGCGTTGGGATTCTAAGGCCAGTCCTCCCATTTCCAGTCCAGATCATTCTGCTTCCCATCGCTAACTTGCGGTGAGCAGACACGTTGCTTTCCACCTGCCTTGAAAGTCACACTTGCCCATCATAAATCAACAGCTTGGCATTCTGCTGTTAGAATAAAAGTTAGTTTCTCATTAGCCCAAGTCCTCTCTTTGAAAGTCTCTTCCATTTGACACAAAATAAGGGCTTTTATACTGGCCTTTCATCCATAACAAATAATCTTTAAAACACTGCCAAAAAAGAAGGAAATTTTCACCTAGCAATTTGTAGTCACTTTAGCACTTAAAGGGCAATGGATTTTCTTCGTTTGCTGCTCAACATATGGTACCTTCTGATTCTGTTAGTAAAATATGATAATTACCAAAGCACACAATTTAATTATGTTCACCATGCTGTTTGTGGGCTCAGGATTGTAAAAACCGAGAAATAAAATCCCCACATAGCTAAAAAGCCTTACTGGGCATCCAAGCAAACTCCAGCCTCCCCTCTTCCATCCCCCTTCTCTCTTCCATTGTCCCTTCTATTTCCCTTCCTGGGTCAGCCTTCTGGTCAAATGGATCCCATGCAGGGTGATGCCAGCTTCTCCATCAAGCCCTGTACCCAGTGAGCTGTCTCTTGGAAAGATTTTCATAAGCACTTCACATTAAGACATTATTTTACAACTGCTTAAAAGTTTACCCTCTCTGGACTACATATGTTTAAACAGGGGCTGTGATTAACTTAAAAAATGAAACTCAGGCAGAAGAAATCTTAGCACCAAATCAAAGCTTATGAGTAGAAGGACCTTCAGGAGCGAATCTTTCCCAGAGTCCCAGAGCTCACATTGCATGGGTCTTGTTTCTTTCAGCGGCAAAACATGTTCTTATACCAACAACCATAGCTATAGGGATGCTGCCAACAAGTCACCTTTTCCCAAAGCCAGGAGACACCAAACTTGAAACTCAGAAATTTAGATTACATCCTAAGTGCTCTCCTACCATTTTATCTTTTGAATCTTAGCACTTTAGATTACATCCAACAGGCTACAACATGGATAGACTTTATGAACATTATGCCAAGTTAAATAAAACAGTCACCAGAAAGACAAGTGCTGTATGATTCCACTTTTTTAAATATATATATATATATATATATATATATATATATATATATATATATATATTTCGTGCTTGCTTTGGCAGCACATATACTAAAGTTGGAGCGATACAGAGAATATTAGCATGGCCTCTGTGCAAGGATGACACACAAATTCATGAAACATTCCATATTTAAAAAATGTTTGCTATAAAATATATATATATATAGTTTATTGATTTCAGAGAGGAAGGGAGAGAAAGAGATAAAAACATCAATGATGAGAGAGAATAATTTGTCAGTTGCCTCCTGCACTCTCCCTACTGGGGATTGAGCCTGCAATCCAGGCATGTACCCTTAAATGGAATTAAACCTGGGACCCTTCAGTATGCAGGCCGATGCTCTATCCACTGAGCAAAACCGGCTAGGGCTGATTCCCCTTTTATGAGTTACTTAGAGTAGTCAAAATCATAAAGACACAAAGTGTAAAGGTGGTTGCTAGTGGCTGGGAAGAGAAGGGAATGGGGAGTTTAATTATTATTAATAATGATTATTCATCACTTTTATAAGATAAATAGATTTATTTGGATATTTGCATGGCACTGTGAATATATTTAATGCCAGTGACCTATAAACTTAAAAATGGTTAAGATGGCAAATTTCATGTTATGTGTATTTTATGTTATAAAAACTTGTAGCTTAAAATAATTACAGGAACAATGTACTGGTTGATTATAAAATACGAAGAATTGGAATAAATGAGGCTAATGCCACAAAAGTTAAGAGGAAGCAATTAGGGATACTCTTAATAAGAAACCTACAGTACACCTTCAGTATTATTTAAAGGTTAATTTATATTAGTTAAAATATATGTTGTAAACTCCAAGACAACCCTAAATTTTGTTTAAAAAGCAGTTAACTGATATGCTGAGAGAGGATATAAAATAGAATTGCATCAAAATGCTCCATTAAAACCAAAGGATGTAGAAAAAAAGAAAGGGAATAAAAATCAGAGATCAACTGCAACAAATAGTGAACCATCATAAAGTATAATAGGAGCTATTAATCAAACTATATCAATAGTCACTTTAAGTATGAATAGTCTCAACACACCAATTAAAGTCAGAACTTTTAAGAATGTATAAAAATACAAAGCACAGCTCTATGTTATCTTTTAGACACTCACTTTATGTATAAAAACTCAAATAGGTTAAAAGTGAAAAGATAGAGAAATACATACCATGTTAACACTAATCAAAATAAAGCTTGGGTAGATCTATTAATTTCAGAAAATTCAAACTTCAGAAAAAAAATATCAGGGAAAAATAGGAAAATTACATAATAATGAAGAGGTCAGTTTTAAAAAAAAGATACAATAATCTTAAGTGTGTATACAACTAATAACAGATATCAAATTATACAAAGTAAAATCTGACAGAAATGAAAGAAAAAAAATAGATCCACTATTTTAGTTAGAGACTTTAATATCCCATTGTCAGGGATTGAAAAAAGGCAGAATGTCAAAAAGGGTATAAATTATCTAAATAGCACTTTCAATCAACTTGACCTAATTGATATGCATAGCAAATTCCATCAAACAACAGCAGAATTATCACTCTTCTTAAGTTCACATGGGACATTCACCAAAATGGAACATACCATGGGCCATAACCCACACCTTAAAAATGTTAAACGATTGGAAAATGGAACATAAAAATAAACATTTAGAAAATAAATAAATAAAAATGACACAAAGTATGTTCTCTGACCATAAATGAATTAAATCAGAATATAAAAGGGGAGGACTAATGAGGCCTTTGTAGGCAATGAAAATTAAGTTGCTATCAGCTTAAAATGGACTGTTTTAACTTATTTTGGTAATCATTTATCTCTCTATATATAAAACAAATCATTTTGTGCACCTAAAATGAATATAATGTTGGTGTGAATTTTATCTCAATTACAAAATAAAATAAATAAAATCTGAAGTCAATAGTCAATGCAAAACAATATGTTCAGAATACTCATACTTTTGTAAAGTAAAAGAATTATAGTTGCAAATGCATAGAAGGAAATGTACATAAATAAATGATGATTATGATTATTTTTGCATGATAGGGAAATGATTGCCTTTTACTATGCTACCTTTCTTTTCCCTAAACTTCCTTTTGTCAAGGTTTTACATTCATAGTTCAAAAAATGTTTCAGATTCTTGTTTTTACTTTTTTCAAAACATGTTTTTGTTGATTTCAGAGAGGAAGGGAGAGGGAGAGAAAGAGAAAAACATCAATGATGACGTAGAATAATTGATCAGTTTCCTCCTGAACATTTCCTACTAGGGATGGAGCCTCCAACCCAGGCATGTGCCCTGACCTGGAATGGAACAGTGACCTCCTGGTTCATGGGTTGGTGCTCTATCAATGAGCCACACTGACTGGGCTGTTTTTACTTTTGATTAGAATTGGAGAAATTTCTAATCAAAAGTAAAATGCACAGAAAAGTAGAAAGAAATATCCATAAAAGTAGAAAGAAAAATCCAAAAACACCTATATGCCCTCTTCTAAATAAACATTTTGCCATGTTTTCTTCATCCATTTTTCAAGCTTCAGCCATCATAATATTTTACCTTTATTAATTCAATTTTCTATATCTAAAATAGTTACTTTTTACATAACTACTATATCTTTATAATTCTGATAAATATAGTAATAGTAATATAGTAATTTTTTAATATAATCTTGTACCTATTTCATACTCATATTTCCCTAATTTAACCCTAAATATTTTTTTAGAGTTGGTTTGTACAAACCAAAATTAGTCAGGAGTCAGTCATTGCATTTAATGCTATGTAGGGTTCCTTTTAAGAAACTTGACTAATTGGAACTTCATGAGTAATCATAACATTTCATGAAAAACATGACATTTGAAATCTGGATCCTTAAAGTATATCAGAATTGATATGAGTAAAAAAGTGAGGAAGTCTTTTCAGGAACAAATATCAAAATAAGGAAATGTAAGAGAGACAGAAAGGCAACACTTGTATTTGGGAAGTGTCAATTAACCCCGTTCCTTTGATCAAAAGGAAGAGAAATAATGGGGGGTGGGGGTAAAAAACAAAATAAATGGGGTGCAGATCATGCACAGCCTTGAAGTCATTTCCAGTTCACTTGGTAGACAATTTGAGAATTCTAATGAGCCTCAGGTGTGACTAACCCACCAGTCTATGATGCCTGTAGGATTGCTGTTTTTTGCTTTTCTCATCTGCGTATCCCTGGCACCTAGCCAAGCACATCTTGTCCGATGTTCACAATGTATTCATTCTTGCAAACATGGTGTTACTGAAGACATTTTAGTTAAAGACTAAGGTGTTAAATTCTCCTTTGGGAAGATTTAGAAAATTTGTTTGTAATGATGATGAGTAGAATAAGAATTTAGAGATGAGAGCTATCTCAATGGGCTGGAGCAATTGAAGAAAGCTTCATAGAGAAGGTGTGGCTTGGCTAAAAAATAACTGTTTCATCTATGAGCTGTCTTAGGTAAGCCTCATAATAACCAAAAAGCAAAAATATAAGGAAAAGGAGAACAGATCATACCACCACAGAAAATCACCAGTTTAAAAAGGTGGGCAAAACAGAGAGAAAAGAAAAAATATAAAACAACCAGAAAGAAATTAATATGATAGCATTAGTAAGTTTCTAAATACCAATAATATTTAATTAGTAAGTTTCTAAATATCAATAATATTTAAATGTTTTTAAAGTGGATTTAATTCCCAATTAAAAGGCACACAGTAGCTAGATTATTTAAAAAAAATACTATGATATGCTACCTACAACAGAATCACTTCAGCTTTCAGAGGTTCAAAGTGAAGGGATGCAAAAATACATTTCATGCAAGTGGAAATCAAAATGAAAGTGGGATAGCTATATTTATATGAGACCAAGTAGACTTTAAGCCAAATAAAAATATATGGTAACAAGAAACAAAGGAGTCATCATGTAATGATAAAGGGGCTAATTCATTATAGAAGATAAAACAATCATAAATATAAACACACCCAATATCAGAGCACCTAAATACATTAAACAAATACTAATGAACCCAAACAAAGAAATAATTATACAATAATAGGAGGGGGACTTCAATATCCCACTTTCAGCAATAAATAGATCAACCAGACAGAAAGTCAACAAGGAAACATAGGACTTGAACCACGTTATTTCAAATGAAACTAAGAGACATCTATAGAACATTTCACACATCAGAAGTTAAATGCACATTCTTCTCCAAGTACCCATAAAAAAATTCTTCGGGATTGAACATTAAAAAGGCATAAAACAAATCTTGGCAAATTTAATAATATAAAAATCATACTAAGTATCTTTTATGATCACATTGATATGAAACTAGAAATCAACCACAAGAGGAAAGCTGGAAAATCTACAGATATGTAGAAATGAAATTACACACTCCTGAACAACCAATGGGTCAATGAAGAACTCATATAGCCCACGCTCAAAGAGGAAGTTACTCTGTGTGGGCTGCACAGAAGGATTTCCTTACTAAGACTACAGCATGTAAAGGGCAGGGGGAGTAACTCCACCATGGAAAACCTGGCAATCACTATGACAAGCACGTGGTCAAAACTAACATCACCTGTGTAAATTATATTGATAGTATGTACCTTGACTTAATGTCATGAGAATAGCACTTCATTTCCATGGCCTTCTTCCTCATAATCCATAATTCCTACATGATCATGAGAAAATGTTCAGACAAATCTAAATTGAGTGATATTCTACAAAATGCCCGACTAGCACACCTCAAAACTGTCAAGGTCCTTACAAAGCAATGCAAGTATGAGAAGATGTCACAGCTAACAGGAATCTACAGAGACCTGGTGACTGATTGCAGTGTGGAACTCCAGAACAGAAAAGTCATTAGGCAGCAAAGAAGGAATCCAGAAAAAAGTATGGGCTTTAATAACAATGCACCCATGTTGGCTCATTAATTAGGAGAAATGTACCATACAAATGGAAGATGCTAACATGGGAAACTAGTGGTGGGGTACACAAAAACTCATTTTCTCCTTCAAAAACAACATTCCATCTTTTCTCCTTAGGGTTGAGAAATGGCCTTTATAATTCTCTAAATCCCCTATGCATTTGTGTCTGTGTGCATCTACTCTGTTTCATTGG